TGGCCCTCCACTGATTTAAATAAAATAATACCAAACAAAAAGAGAGGAGGACGTTGGAGTGTAACACCCCACATAAAAGTTACTAATATTTTAATAGCATAAGGCACTGTAAATTGATACATCTTTCGTCGGTCATCGTTACCTTTTTTATTTTTCGTGTATCATCTCCTCAAAGAATAATTTATATTAGTTCATAATTTGAACTCAATAAACTGCAGCTCAAACATTTGAGTGGTGTAAGATAATTAAATCGCAGCCATAGCAGAGATTAAGACATAATTATGTAATTAATTTAGAGTTAGAGTTTAAAGAAGCATACCGTTAAACTCCATGGATTCAGCAGCGACAACAATCGACGATCAAGTCTGAGACCAACTTCCACGATCCACTAGCTACACGCTCTCACCGTCCGAAGAACTTGACTGATGGGACGTCTACCGTTATCACGTATTCATGATACAGAATACGCTAAGGTTTTCTAATAGCTAGGGGAAAGGGGGTTGACCTCTATTTATAAAGAGTGTCTATCCATCACAGACCAATAGTTATTGGGCCTCACTTATCCACACATACAACATTTAATATCAGGCCTTTTATTTATCCACCACTTGGGCCACTCACTATCCTTTCAGGCTATAACCAATTAACATAAGTCCAAATTCCAACATTCTCCCACTTGGACGCCAACGTTAATTGAGGATAAGAAAACAATTTTAAAACTTTTGAGTTTTGAGAAAAACATTTTAAAAAAGGATTTTAGACTCTATAGTGGCCGCATTACTTACATAACCATGGATAGAGTGACCCATATAACAATCCATCTAGTCTCAATAGAGAACACTAACAATGAATCATAGCAGACATCACACCATTTAAAGGCATGAATTCTATCTACGACCACATATGCTAGAATTTCCATCAACATGGATCAAACATGTGTGCTAAGCATATTATCTTTCTAATCAAGATGAATAGAGTCACACCTCTTAGAAAGAAATAATACTCCAAGTGATATTATAACCATATCATCTGATCAGGAGCCTCCAAGTGAAAAAAAACAATATCATCCCAGAAGGTTTTCCTTGTGCCTTACCCGGGGTAATCAAGGCAACAAGCAGCAAAACTCACAGATACCATGAGTTTATGTAATATCCAATTGGAAATCAAAATAAATAAATTATCATGTTAGTCAATAAGAATAACAAATATCAAATGACACAAGCTTGGATAAAAAGAGAATTTATTAAAAGCAATATCTCTATCAGCAATTACAAAGTAATTCACATCGACTAAAGCACATCAAAAGACTTTAAAATACCCATATTTTTAGCATGTTCATTAAACACTATAGGCCTAAGACCTTTAGTTAAAGGATCAACCAACATAGATTCTGTGCTAATATGCTCAATACATATATCACCTTCTTTTATCATGTCTCTAACCTTAAGAAACTTAAGGCTAACATGCTTAGAGCCTCTTGTTCTCTTATTATTCTTAGAGAAGAACACAGTTGCACTGTTGTCACAGAAAATGGTCACCGGCTTAGATATAAAATCTACAATTTGCAATTTAGTAAGAAAATTCTTCATCCAGATTCCAGACAGCATGTGAAGCAGTCTCAAAACAAGCAATAAACTCAGCTTCCATTGCCGATGTAGCAGTGATGCTCTATTTCTCACTTTTCCAAGAAATAGCACCTCCACCCAATATAAAAATATACCTAGAAGTTGATTTCATATCATCTTGACAACCTGCAAAATCAGAATCTAAATATACTGGAAGATTCAGATCATCAACCTTTTTGTACACAAGCATGAAGTATTTGGTGCGTTGTAGATATCTCATCACTTTCTTTGCAGCCACCCAATGTGCCCACCCAGAATTAGAAGAAAATCTTCCCAACATGTTAACAACAAATGCAATATCAGGCCTTGTACAAACCTGCATGTACATTAAATAACCAACAACACTTGCATATGGCACATCTTTCATAGTTTTCATTTCAATTTTATTTTTCGGACATTGATATGTACTAAGTTTATCCCTTTTACAACAGGTGCAACACCAGGTTTACGGTCTTGCATATTGAAAGTTTTAAGAACACTCTCAATGTAGGAACGTTGTGATAAACCCAATAAATCACGTGACCTGTCTCTTTTAATTTCTATTCCAAAAACAAAAGAGGCTTCACCAAGATCTTTCATATCAAAAGACCTAGACAAAAATTATTTGGTCTCATTCATCAAGCCCAAATCATTTGTGGCAAGCAAAATATGATCAACATAGAGAACCATAATAATGAAACTACCATTAGTTATTTTAAGATAAATACATTCATCAAGCTTATTTTCCACAAATCTAAATTTTGTAATAATTTCTCAACTTGAGAGGATCGACGAAGCTGAGAGCGGCATCCAGAATTTGAGGAAGCGACTCGCCGCGGAGCAACAACCGCGTCCGGATCTGATCTATTTACTTGGCAATTCATCCGATGATGGGGTTTCATCAAGCTTTTACTTTTTCGATCGACCTCACCGCCATCAATTTCAAGTACCACTGCCCGGAGGTTTGTTTAAGACCATATACGGTTTTGTTAAGCTTGCACACTAGATGTTCTTTACCAGCTTCTTTAAACTCTTCAGGTTGAACCATGTAAACTTCTTCAAGCAGACTCCCATCTAGGAAAGCAGTTTTAACATCCATTTGGTGCAACTCTAGATCAAAATGGGCCATAAGAGCCATCACAACTCTAAAAGCATCCTTAGATGAAACATGAGAAAAAGTTTCTTTATAATCAATACCTTCTTTCTGAGTGTAACCCTTAGCAACCAACCTTACTTTATAATGGTCTATGTTTTCCTTAGAGTCTCTTTTGGTTTTAAACACCCATTTACAGCCAATAGGCCTAAAACCTACCGGCTATTCTACTAACTCCCATACTTTATTGTGTTCCATGGAGCATATTTCATCTTTCATTGCCTCACGCCATTTATCAACATATAGAGAGGAAATAGCTTGAGCATATGATAAAGGATTAGTCAACTCTTCAGTATTACTAAGATTTTCAGTCACATACACGATAAAATCATCAGAAGTGGCAGACCTTCTTTCTTTTTGTGACCTGCGAAGTGGTTCATTGTGTATATTTTCCTTAGGAACTATGGGATATGCGTCGTTGTACCCTTGATTCTCCCCTTCATGAAATTGGTTTACCACCTTTTTATGTACAACTGGTACAGGGACAATGACTTCCTTCTCTTTCAATACAATTTTCTTACCACATGAACAATCACAATCACAAACATTATGCTCAAGAAATTTTGCATTAATAGACTCAATGATTCTAGTGCCACGCCCAGGACAGAAAAACCTAAAACTTTTAGAGTGATCAGGATAGCCTATAAAGAAACAACTAGTAGTTTTAGGATCAGTTTTCTTTTCTGTTGGGTGAATAAATACAAACTTCATCTGGACATCCCCAAATGTGAAAATGATTCAAGCTAGGTTTTTGGGTTGTCTATAGTTCAAAGGGAGTTTCAAAACAGATTTTGTAGGAACTCTTAAGGATATAACTAGCTGTTTTTAAGGCTTCTCCCCAAAGATTCTCAGTTAGCCTAGTCCTTGACATCATACTTCTCACCATTTCCATGAGAGTACGATTCAGTCTTTCAGTCATGCCATTCTGCTCAGGAGTACCTGGCATGGTATATTGTGCTACTATCCCACATTCTTGCAAAAATAAAGCAAAAATGCCCTATATATTGACCAGATTCATCATATTTTTCATATTACTAACTATCACGGTCAGATCTCACTATCTTAATGGACTTTCCATGCTATTTTTCAACTTCAGTCTTATAAATTTTAAACTTATGAAGTGCTTCAATTTTTTTTAAAAGATATATATGTATATATATAACAATATTTTGAAAAGTCATCAATAAAAGTAATAAAATACTTATGATTGGCCAAAGTAGGTACATAAGGACCACTAATATCAGTATGAACAATTTCTAAGAGTTCAAAGCTCCTAGTAGAACCCTTTCTCTTAACTTTGGTCATTTTACCTTTAACACAATCCACACAAGTTTCAAAATTCTTTGGATCAAGAACAAGTAAATATTTTCCTTTACCAATCGTTTAATTCTTTCTTTAGAAATATGACCAAGATGCCTATGCGTTAACAGGTAAGGCGTTTTACTCATAGCAGACCTTTTGTGGGCAATATTTTTAACATGCATTGCAGAAAATTTTTTATTCAACACATTCAGGCGATATAGACCATCAATTAAAAAAGGCGTCGACAACAACATGTGAATCATAGGAAGTTTTAATAATACCATTATTTTGTTGAAATGAATAACCAGCTTTGTCCAAAAGGGAAATTGAAACTAATTTCTGTCTCATAGACGGTACAAAAACAGTATTTTCTAAACGAATACTAGAATTATTTTTAAAGGTAAAATAGATGTTCGTATAAACTATACTTTTGCTTTGAGTCCATTTCCCACAACAACACTGGCTTATCATCTTTTGGCTTCCGTCTGCTTACTAGATCCCGCAAGTCATTGGTTACATGAACAGTTGCACCACTATCCAACCACCAAGAATTTAAAGGAACATGAACAAGACTAGTTTCAAAGCAGACAAAAGCCAAGAGATTACCTGATTTCTTTTTTTTTTAGAGGACATCCAGCTTTCTTATGACCTACTTGTTTGCAATCCCAGCACTTGATTTTTTTTCTTAATTACATCTTGAGGACCAAGAGGATTATGAGACTGACTTTGGTTAACACCAGGCTTATTAGTATGACCACTATTATCACCTGGATGATGAGACTGACCATGTTTCCTTTTGTGAAATTTTGGTCCACCTTTTTTTTATAAAAAGGATAATCAGCTGATCTAGACGAACTAACAAAGTTCACTACACCCTCAACTTTCTCCTTTTGGATCCTCCCTTCCTCTACCTCACAAATAGCAATAAGCTTATCCACACTTCACTTATCCTTTTGTGCATTATAGGTTGTCTTAAGTTGGTTAAACTGCTCAGGAAGGGACCTTAGAGATTGGTGAACAAGAAAATCATCGGTAATGGTTACACCTAAATTGTTCAATTTGGTAGCAATGTTAACCAATTTCATAATATGATCACGGACATTACCTACAAGGTCACACTTTATGGTAGACAGGGAATTAATTAGGCTACCTATCTCAACTTTATCAGATTCTAGGAGTTTCTGTCTAATGGCACTCAGGAAATCTTTTGCATTTTCATTATCCTTAATTGCACCCTTTATGTGATCAGAAATGGATCTCTTCATGATCATAAGACTCAATTTGTTAGCCTTCATCCATTTCTTATACTTAGCCATTTCATCAGCAGTGCTAGTAATTGCAGGTTCAGCAGGTTTCTATTCAGTCAATGCAAAGTCCAAGTCCATCAGACCTAATACTATTTCAACATCCTGTTTTCACTTCTTGTAATTGCTACTAGTCAGAGTTTCAATTGAATTCAATTGAGTAGTCATGCTGTTAACAGTTGTATAAGCAAACAATAAAAAAATTAGATAGAATTATGGGCAGGAATATATTAAATCAAAAGAGTCAAAGACATCCATTACACCCCTCCTTTGGGTAGAAGATGCAATTGTCTCCCCTTTTAAAAAAAAATCAAGAGAGTCCAAGGCATTCATTGCATCCTCACGTTTAGGCAAGAGATACAAAGCCTCCCCCTTATTATCCAAGAGTACAACGCATACATTATGTCCTTTCTTTATGTAAGAGACACAAAACATCCTCTTACGTCAAATTATTCTTATTAATTTAATTTATATATATACATGAGAATCCAAGATATTAAGCTTCATCCTTTGGTTTGAAATATAATATCTTATCTCATAAATTAATTTGGTGTCACTAGTATAAAAAAGGTAAACCTCCAACACTAACGTACACTCTATTAAGGACAATTTATACATGTGCATTGAGAATATTTTAAGGACTCAAATAAATAGACCACTTTGGTGGAAACTACTCATTAATCATAATTCTCAACCCATGTGTTAAATGATTTCACATATATAAAGTTTTAAAAAATTTCAATGATTCCAAATAAATAGACCACTTTGGTGGAAGCTATCTATTAATCATATTTCTTATTTAAACAATATCATACACATGCGAGAAAAATAAAGCCCATATATGTAAACCCTTCTAATTGCTATTAATTCCATTCTCTGACTAAAAGTCCTAAGAACCAGTAAGAGTTATACAATCAAAACAAGATCAACATTCCAATTTATTATTAGGACAAGGTATTTTGTAAAACACCTGACGTTTTTTTATCAACTACTAAATAGAAATTGAGAAATTTATTAAAGGACACAAGTCCATAGAAAAACATTAGCCTTTTAAGTTCTGCTAAGTACGCTAACATTGTATGGAGTTAATTTCATAACTAAAGAACCAATCAAGTTCAGATCTCAACAAAACTTAACAAGACTTAGCCCTTAATTATAAAATCCTTTTCAGATGCCCTCGCCGTCAGCACGTATCAAGGTTTTACCAACTTTGATATGTGCTTTTATTTAAAAATACCAACTACAAAATCGTTACATCCCCTTATACATTGACACAAAATAGCCACTAAACATTGGTGAAACAATTTTGCCGAGAAACAGTGACAAACTACTATCGTCTAAAATTTATACAATAGTAAAATATATTCGCAAGGTATAACCGATCACAATATAGAAAAGAACGCGTATAACAAGCTTGGGTGTCTAATCAATTTATTAATTAGAGGCCGGAACATGTAAACTTGTTACCCAAGATATATACTTTTGTTAACTCAAGATTAAATTTTGATCTTAATCCCTAACTATGGTGACTCTGATACCAATTGTAAGATAATTAAATTGTAGCCATAACAGAGATTAATACACAATTATGTAATTAATCTAGAGTTAGAGTTTAAGGAAACGTATCATTAAGCTCCATGGATTCAGTAGCGACAGCAACTGGCGATCAAGCTTGAGACCAACTTCCACGATCCACTAACTACGCGCTCTCACAGGCGGGAGAGCTTGACTAATGGGACGTCTACTGTTATCATGTATTCAAGAAGTAGAATACGCTAGGGTTTTCTAATAGCTAGAGAAAGGGGGGTTAACCTCTATTTATAAAGAATGTCTACCATCACAGGCCAATAGTTATTGGATTTCACTTATCCACACACACAACATTTAATATCAGGCCTTTAATTTATCCACCACTTAGGCCACTTCACTATCCTTTCAGGCTATAACCATTTAACGTAATTTCAAATTCCAACAGTTTTTACTTCAACTAGTTGAACAGAATACATCATGCCCTTATATTAAGACCAAGTATAAACAATCTTTGAAGAGTTATTTTTTCCTATTTATATTATCTGTCTTTTCCTTTCCGAATTTACAGTACCTATCGTTTAAGCCTTTTGCACATTCTTTTGGAGAAACATTTTGTTGTTTGGTACGCGAACTAAATTATTCCGTTTTGGAATTAATTTATATCACATGAGAGATGAAATAAAATAATCTCATATTTGATGGGATAAGGTGGATAAAATGTGATATCCTGGATCAAGTATGGGATAGAATTTATACTTTATTTGGTTGGAGATATAAATTTATCCCACCAACCAAACACAATATAAATTTAATCCCGTATTGTATTCCACTTTATCGCTGGTACCAAACGACCCTTGTCTTATACTAAAGAGAGTCTAACCTATCCTTTGTTTCCACCTTACATGTCTGACTTAATTAAGAAAATATATCTCATTCTCACTTAAGTAAAATTGTACTAACTAGTTGGAACAATAAAAATAGATTTATGAAAGAATAATAAAAAACTACTTACCTTTTTTAGAACGTCAAACAATTTTAATTTTTAAAACGACTTGACACTTGTGCCTTAAGGTAGTAATTTGGAATGATTGGTAGCTTGTTAGCTCGAAACTTTAAGGTGACCATTGATTTGTAGCAGAATGCCAGAAACGATGAGATTTTGTATTTAGTCAAAAATATTACTATTTGTTCTTGTTGAAGAAAATTTTTCTAAGTTCCGAAAATTGATTTGCGTCAGTTTTTGGTTGAAATTTTTTTCTTCCACTCACTAAAATTTAACTTCTTTTCAACTTCAAAAACTTTTTTCTTTAATGTTTCATCCAAAAGCTAGATAAATTTGGTTTACAAGAACGTATGACATATTGACATCTCATTGTATCACATAATGAGGCTTAGATGTGGGTAGGAGGAAATCCCACTTTCTTCAACAAGAAATGCATCTATAAACTCGGAAAATATTAATGTTTGTCTGTACTTTTTCAATGCGTGTCCCTTCCATTAACATTTGATAGCTACACACGGAGATCTTGATATTACTTCATTTTTCACGTTTCTCTTTCTTTCTTAATTTTTTCAAAAAAAGTTACTCCATTCGATTCATTTTATATACGTGGATTCATTTTATATAACGTATTTTGACTAAGCACAAAATTTTAAGAATAAAATAAAAATTTTAAAACTTATAGTTTAAACAAGCCATAAACATTTTTTAGCTCAAAATGATCTTTTTAACGATAAAATACAAAATTTAAAGTTATAATACTTTTAAATATAAAATACTATTTCTTAGGACATATTAAAAATAGCGTCAACTTTAAGATTTTTTTCTGCCTTTCTAAAGATAGGGGTAAGGTCTCGTACACTCTACCCTTTCCGAAATCTATTTGTGGGACTATACTGGGTTTGTTGTTTGTAGTATGTCGGAAACAGCTCCTCTAACTTCAAAAATAGTAAAGTCTACGTTCATACTACTTTTTCAAACTCCACTTTATAGTACTACACTAGGTTTGTTGTTGTTGTACTAAAAAGAAAATTATATTATAACATATAATTGGAACAAATTCAGTATATTATTTATATGACGGAATCGAAACCGTTATTACAAGACACATGTCTTGCGGTTTTGCCGACTTTCATAAATAAGGAGGTCAACTTAGTTCAATAAATAAGGGGAATTAAAAAATTTCTCGAAAGGGAAGATTCAGTTAATCGGCCTTAATATTGATCTTATTTTGAGGTGATGGAGTGTATGTTCCAAGGTTACTGTACTCATGAACATGCTCATGTTCACCTTTGTAACAGAATTAATTAAGTTTATGATTCAAGAAGCTATTAAAAGCTCTTAGCAGTCTCTGTACTTTTACTGTGGAAAGACAAGCAAGTACTCCCTCTGGTTTATGATCAATTTGCTTTTTTATTTTGATCCAAAATAAGTGTCCATTTATATAATCAAGAAAATATTTAATTTATTTTTTCAAAATTACCTTCATGTACGTATCCCTAAAAAGTCTTTTACTCCTCACATTAACTATGGTGCAATATTTAATTAATGATAGTTTAGTCACACTAACTATTTTTGTCTAGAATTTAGTATTTTCTTAATGGGTGTAGCCAAAATAAATTGATCACTTATTGTGGACCGGAGGGAGTAATCACTTTAAGAGTGAAATGCTTTGTATATAGCCTTGTATATAGCAAGATTAGAAGTGATTTAGATTGGTTTCAGGTAAAAAATCAGACCTAAAAATCCAACTACGACATGTGTATATCACATTGTATATCATGTACATCAGTGCATATCACACACAGGTTTTTAAGGACGTCTGTGTATATCACTTTGTATATCGTGTATACAACACTATTTTTTATGGATGCCCATGTATATCACATTGTATATCATGTACATCAGTGCATATCACACACAGGTTTTTAAGGACGTCTGTGTATATCACTTTGTATATCGTGTATACAACACTATTTTTTATGGATGCCCATGTATATCACATTGTATATCGTAGATATAACACAAATTTTCATGGATATACACAGATACACATAATATACATGAGATATCACTGATGTACATAGCGATATACACGAGTTATAATTTTGGTATACACATGTCTGATGTGCTATACACTGTAATATACAAATAATACAATATTTTATTGTGATATACATTGATGTATAGGCGGCAATAACTATATATGTAATTTTATATTATTGATATACAAAAAATAGTATTATTTATATACAAAGAATGGAAATAAAACTTTAATGTACATGTTGATATAGACAAAGAAGAAGAAAAAAATTGTGATATACATATTATTATTGTGATATACATTTATTGGCTATTTGATGCCAATATCTTTAACTAGGGCTATTTTCTACCAATTATATATGTATGTTATTATAGCATGCTAAAACCCCATTTTTGTTTAAGAGAAATACCCATATACCATCCGAAAATCAGTAGCCCA